CTGCAAGAAAACCACCAAGCTCAGAGGATGAGAGAGAACAATATGGAGGAACCGTCTCAGCTTTCTGCAGATCCAGAAATTAGGAACGGGGAGATTTGAAGTGTGAACATTTAGAAACATAGAGGCAATGTGCCAAACAGCTCAACTTTTTCTGCAGGGTCTCTAAACTAGACATTTCTCGCCAGTCTGCAAATTACTTCCAAACAATATCAATCAAGCCTGTTTCCATTAGAAATCTGCTTACACGGAGGGGGAAAAAATACTGTATGCTTTATTTGTTTATCCTAAAACCTTTTTAATATATTTGTTGGAGGCAGAGGGAAAAATAAATTAAGGGGAAGAGAGGGGGAAAATTGGGGGAGGGGGCTGTTTATATTTGGTTTATATATCATTCTTTTTCCGACTGCTGAGGAATCTTTTACAACTTCTCCCTTTTTTTTACTCCTCATTGAGGGAACTAACTTAAGAATGAGCGATTTGCCTCAAGGTTCTTCAGTGAATCTGTGTCGAAGAGTTTAAATCTCCCAACAATAAAAACAATCGCCTGAGGTTAACAAACATAATTTAGGGGGAAACGTATTCTGTCTTTTTTTTTTTTTAATCTTCCCTTGCCGTTCCAACCTCCTTCAATTGCTCAGGGGTAGTTTGCAGCAATTAAAAACAAAAATAAAAAAATAAAATAAAGCAAGGGTATGAAAATGAGAAACAAGCTTAGGAGGAAAAAAATATATCAGCTAAAAAACAAAGGAGCAAGGAAGGGGAAATCACAGGCCCAGCAAGAGGAAAGCAAATACAAATAAGTAAGGCCTTGTCTTATGACCAAAACCTCTATGGCTAAGCAAGACACTGGTTAAGTGAGTCTTGCCTCATTTTACAACCTCGCTTGCCACATCTGTGAAGCGGTTGTTAAGTTAGTCACACAGTGGTTATGCGAATCTGGCAAACCCCCCTCCTTGACTTCGCTGGTCAGGAGGTTGCAAAAGGGGGAATCACTGCAAACCATCGTAAATATGAGTCGCTGAAGCCAAGCGTCTGAATTTGGATTACGTGACCTGGAGAAGGCTACAACGGTTGTAAAGGGGAAAAACATTCCTAACCTATAATTCTCCAAATGTTAAGAATTCAACTTCCAGGGTCTACAACAAGAGAATAAAGAGCTGTGGTGGCACAGTGGTTAGAATGCAGTAATACAGGCTACTCCTGCTGACTGCCAGCAGTTTGGCAATTTGAGTCTCACCAGCTCAAGGGTGACTCAGCCTTCCATCCTTCCGAGGTGGGTAAAATGAGGACCCAGATGGTTGGGGACAAATGGCTGATTCTGTAAACCACTTAGAGAGGGCTGTAAAAGCACTGTGAAGCGTGTATAAGTCTAAGTGCTATTGCTCTTCCTTCCTTCCTTCCTTCCTTCCTTCCTTCCTTCCTTCCTTCCTTCCTTCCTTCCTTCCTTCCTTCCTTCCTTCTTTTGCACAGTGGTTAGAATGCAGTATTGCAGGCTAACTTTGCCCACTGCCAGCAGTTCGATCCTGACCGGCTCAAAGTTGACTCAGCCTTCCCTCCTTCCGAGGTCAGTAAAACGATTGTTGGGGGCAAGATGCTGACTCTGTTAAATCACTGAGAGAGGGCTGGAAAGCACTAGGAAGTGGTATATAAGTCTTAAGTGCTATTGCTATAAGCCACAGACCATTGATAGGTTTTCAAATTTTGCATGCAAAACCAGCCTCCTTCAGTCCGCGCAATAAAACCTCTCCATGGAACCGGTCCCTGTTCTAAAGGGATGCTGGAAGGCATCTCGTGATTCAGTTATTAAAAGGAGCATGGCTTAAATGTTTCAGTCCAGGTTTTTTTTCTCATCCATTTGGGTGGGAATTTAGGACCGTGGGATACAAACTTTTTCTGGACCCAAAAGATTTCATTATTTCACATGGGAAGTGAACGCAACTGCAGAGATAACAGAATATTCTGTCCAATATTCTGAAGACTTTCCCCATTAAGGTAAAGGTTCCCCTCGCACATGTGTGCTACTCATTTCCGGCTCCAGGGGGCAGTGCTCATCTCCGTTACAAAGCCGAAGAGCCAGCGCCATCCGAAGACATCTCCGTGGCCATGTGGCTGGCATGACTAAATGCCGAAGGCGCATGGAACGCTGTTCCCTTCCCACCAAAGATGGTTCCTATTTTTGTACTTGCATTTTTTTACATGCTTTCGAACCTCTAGGTTGGCAGAAGCTGAGACAAAGAATGGGAGCTCACTCCGTTAGGCGGCGCTAGGGATTCGAACCGCCGAACTGCCAACCTTTCTGATTGACAAGCTCAGCGACTTAGCCATTGAGCCACTGTGTTTCCCCATTACTAACTCAATAATCCTTCCCGCCGTACCCATCATTTAGAAACCATCAAACCTACCTTGCAAAACCTATTCAATAAACCGATTTTTTGTGGTCAATCAGAAAGGGACTGAAGCAAGCTAGCAACTGAATGGCAAGAGAAATCCACCTGTACAGCACTGAGTCCCCCAGAAATAGGAGAGGGGCCAATTATTCATTGGTGATGATTACCTGTTTGAGATATTCCTCCATTTTATGTCTGACCCAACTGTGACATGAGCAGCTCCGATGCTCCCAGTTCTCATTTAAATCGGTGTGCTTTACACAGCCCTACACCAGTTTAACTGTGACTAAACCTGAAGTAGGATGCTTTGATTATAAATACCTCTCAAACTTTTGCAAAGTATCACTGAAGTATGTCCCAAAGGTGCTTTTTTCAAGAGGCAACTGGACTTCATTTTTCTTTGAACGTTTCAACTGCTCGCTTCTCACCCAAGTGCGAATGGATTGAAAGAGGGGAGTCAAAGTGGCCATTGGTGTTAAAATTGAACAGCTCTCCCTTAACAGAGGAGGAGGGATACAACATCATATATCCCCAGTCCACAACACAGTCCTTTCAGCAGTTCCAAGAAGACTCCACACCCATTTGCACTGCTCAGGTGATCCTGAGGACACAGATAAACCTCCAAGTGGCCTCAATGGCTCTCTAGAAAGAATGCAAATGACCGGCTGTCTGCAAGGAACATAAATCCTTCCATTTCCCACCATCCAGTCAGAGCTGAAGAAGCTTCTTGGACGAGAAGTGAAACAACCTCAAAGAAAAACAAGAAAGTCCAGTTGCCTCTTGAAAAAAAGCACCTTTGGAACAACTATGACCTGGATGGCTGAGAATCTCCACAGACATCATTAAAATATTGTGTGTCCTAGGTTTTTATATTGAACTGTAAAATCAAATGCTCCTATCCGATAGTGGACATTTTGAAAAAAAAAAAAGAGTAGGACCAATATAATCAGATTGGATCAGCTTGATTTAAACCATGCAATAACCAGGATTTAATTTATATACATCAAATTAGTTTTTATTATTAAACACCCTCTTCCAGGTAGCGTAAGAGGAGGGGTGACAGAATAAGAAACTGGAAAATCTTACATCTGCCCTCATGAGAATTAGGAACAGCAGTGGTAGCTAATAGGTTAAAGAAATGCTGAAGAACAGCAGAAACCAGGATAATTTTACCGCTAATATAGCAGTCCAGCCTGTTCCTGTTAATCCAGTTTTAGAACTTGAAAAGTGCTTTACAGCATTCATTGGCTCTGGGTACACAACAGAAAGGACACTGTTAGTCATTTTATTTTTTTAAAGGTGGCTTCAGAATTAAATATCTCTTCCTTTTCTTTTACTGGGCCTCAGTTCAAGCAATTTGGGCAAAGGGTCCACCCACAATGGACCCTGGTTTTTGCAGGCATCTCCAACTTCTTAATGATGACCAGCTGTTTTCACACACAGCTCTTTTCATCTCATAGCATCAAACCACCAACTAAGACTGTGTGAAGGAGCTGCCACAAAGTAATCCTACTGCATTGCTTCAAACAGATGGGTTGTTTCTGGTGTTGGCAAAAGAACTGTAAATACCAAGGAGCAGCTGGCATGGAGTCACTTTGAGGGAAGGGACTTTAGCCAAAATTTGTATCCTCCTTTTTCCGCTCCCTATGGCTTGGCTTCTTCAGCCAAGCATCAAGGCAATGGTTCCTCAGTCAAGCACATCATTGTCCCAACAAGAAATGTTCTACCTTTATTTCACCACCAACCACCGATCAGATGAGCCTGGATGGTATGGCACCACGCCCAAATCAAATGGTTCCATCCTTTCCCTGGTATCTTCCACCACCAAAGGAAGGTGCCCTTATCAATGGCATAAGACAGCCTGTCTACACAACTTCACAATACAGGATCTCAGTATCTTCCCTTCTCCAAACATGCTCTCAATTTTGCAAATTGAGTTCATCCAGAAGTGCACAGTCCATGCAATGAGAAATTAAGGAGTGCACCTTTACGTACAAGCCCATTTTACAGAGAGGAAATGAAGGCTGGGAAAGTTACACCAGGTGAGGCCACCAAAAAACATGACCTAGTAAGGTGTGAGGAGCTGGCCGCAGATTTTTGAACTGTAACTCTAGTCTTCTGGCCAAATTGAAGGAAAGCCTCCTTGGAACAAACTGAGATTGTAAAATAAAACCTGCTGATGTAGACTGGCTGCACACAGTTTGAGTTGTGTTGGTTATCCAGATCGTTCGCAGGGGCATTTAAAAATAACTGATAGTAAGTCTGAACTACGGCATTAGCTCCAACTTAGCTCCTCTTGTTAAAAGTTTAGCGCCAGCTCAACATGGAATTCCAGAATAAATAATGCTCAAGAAAGGACATTATTCCCATGTTTTAATCCACTTTTGCTCCATCTTGGTAAAGACAGTGACTGGATAGAAGATATTACGGTCTGTCCCAAGCTTTAGAAAACTCCGCAGTGTCTAAGAAGCGTATGATCACCATGTCTCTGACTCACATTTTTGTACCTTTAGCAAGCTATTAGACAGCACTATTCAACAATCAAATGTCCCCTCCCCCCCACCCAAAAAAATTTGCTCAGTCAACTGCCCCATGCTCCCCTCCCTTCCTCACCATTGAGTTGGTTGTACACCACTTCCTCCAGATGATCCAACCGTTGCAGGATGGCTTCCCTGTCCAGCAGGGCTCCCACTTTGGCATTCCTTCCCCTCATCCGTCGGTCAGCGCTCCGGACGATCTGCACCAGCTCCTGGGAGCGGTCCTGGATCCTGCAGTAGACCGAGAAGAGGATGATGCCCACGAAAACCAAGATGTTCACCGTCAATAAAGTTTTGATTTTCCTGGCAACCGCCATGGAAGCTGCTGGGTCGAGAAGGCGTCAAGGCATGGCAGCTCCGGGAGCTGCAGCAGCATCGAAGGCAAGCAGTCCCTGCCTGGCCGGATGGTGGAAGGAAGGAAGGACTGAGGGGAAGGGAGCTGGTGGGGGGTGGGAGAGAGGAAGAAGGCAGTAGGAAGTCCTGAGATACCCCCCTTCCCACGACTTCTGGATGCGAGAGAGGAAGGGGGCAGCCCAAGGCGAGTCAATGCATTGCCGGCGACAAGGAGCTGTCCGTTTCAGCACCACGGCGTTCCACGCAGGCACCGCTGGACCGCCTTCTCCTTCGGCGTCTGTTTCTCAGCCCAGAAGGGACCCCCGCGTCTCTCTCTTGGAGGCTCTACAAAGGGGAAGGGGCTGAGGATGGGGAGGGGAGGGGTGAGGCACGCCCGGGCGGGGTAGGGAAAGGAGGGGGGCCAGCCAGAAGCAAGGACACAGCGCCGACGCAGGCCAGCCAGCTTGGGCAGAAGCCAACGGAGGGAGAGAAGGTGAACGGGATGCGCCCACAGCTGGAAGGAGTGTCAGGGTTGGGGAGGGGGGAGGGGGGGGCGTCGGCGAAGGTGAGGAGGGGATGCGATCCTGCGCGATGGTTGCCTGCCTGCCTGCCCGCCCGCCCGCCTCCCCTTGCGCGCGTCCTTGCACGCCTGCGTGCGCGGTTGTAATCGGCTCGGTTGCTGGCCCTCGCTGCCTCGCTCCCCGCGCACAGCGCAGGGGCGAAGTCACGTGGTATATTGGATAGGTTGGAGGGGAGGAGAAGAAGGGAGGAAAAGGGGGGGGGACGAAGGAGGAAACTCTCCTGCATTCGCGCGGCCTCGCCAAGGGATCGGCTCCCTTGCGGGCTGGGGGGGGGAATCTCTCCATCCTGCCCTCCTCCCCCTCCAAGAGGGAGGTGGAACGGCGCCGTGGGCTTATCTCCCCCCCCCGAAATGTTTTTGCCCGTCCGAGTGGGGAAGTGGGTATCCCCTTCTCGCCCGTGCCAGCCCACGATACCAACAGCTATGCCTCTCCAAGCACCAAGCCTCTTAGCATGCAAAGGGTATTTCTCCCTCTGCCAATGCTACGAACCATCTCTGATTCCATTCTGCAGAGGCAGAATTGATGGCTAGCATCACTCTAGGGTTGCAGCGTCTGGGTTGAATTGGGTGGCACAAAACCCTGGTCAGGTGCTTGATTGGCCCTGGATATTAAACATCTTTTCTTCGGACAAATCCTCTGCCTCCAAAAACTACATCCACAGCCCCCTTTTAGAATTTATTTATTTTCTTTTTTTTGCAAAGCTTTCCAACATCTGAGATCCTGCTAAGTCTCCTGCAGGCTCCCGACTGAATTGATGCTTTGTGGCCTTCCGGTGCTTAATGGGAAGTGGGGCAAGGTAACTGTGCCGTGTGTGAATGCCACAAACCAGTCAGCAGTTTTGGGTTGCTTTGGGTTCAGCTGACCCTCCTGGTCAGCCACGAAAGATGGATTGTGAACCTTCTCTGGCAGCTGTCATCAGAGAGAGGAAATCCTAAACCAGCGCAGAGGAAACTGGAGCAGCTCTAGGAACTCTTTTTCTGTGGGTGACATTTCACTCCTCTTGGGTATATAATAAGATCTGGAACAGGGGAAGAATGGGATTGGTGGTTGGTAAGCCTTCCTTGAGTGGGGCCACCAGAAAATTCTGTACATTTTTTTCTTCAATTTCTTTTTTTTAAAACGGAAGTGAAAGTCATAAAAAGGGCCATTAGGAGTTTAACTGGGGGAAATATGTGATTATGTGCTTTTGGCAAAGTAATTTTTTCAAACTAGGTCAGGGGTTTTCAAACTTGACAGCTTTAAGACTTGTGGACTTGAACTCCCAGAATTCCTCCTCCAGTCATGTTAGCTCAGGAATTCTGGGAGTTGAAGTCCACAAGTCTTACACGTGAACTAGGTCAAGAATATCACCTATTACAGCCATAGATTAGTACAGAGAGAATGGCTACATTCAGAGATTCCACTAAGCCATCATGGAATCCTGTGGCTTCCCTGATCTATTATTTCTTTCTTAATCAAAATATCAGGCACTTTTGATCATTTTTTTTGATACCCACCATTTTGTTTATACCCATCATGTTTGATAGCCGCACAACTTTATCAAAAACTGCCTGACCACTCAACCCAGTATAGAACAACCAAACACAAGCAATGAAAAGGTTAACACTATCAAAACGTCTCAGAAACAACCAGAAGACAAATTACATCCACGTGGCATCATTGTAGCACACAACCCAACTAAAGCCTCCCAAAACATCTTAAGTAAACCAAAAGACCCAGTAAACCCAGAAGAAGAAGAAGAAAAATGAGAATCTTCTCCAATGTACAGTGTAAGGACTGTAATGGTCACTACATAGGACAGTAGTCAGAAGGCACGATGAAACTATTTTAATCTTATAAGACATGGACAGGGTCGATCATAGTTTCATCTGGGAAAATGTGAGCATCTTAAATCAGGCAAAATCCAAAAAACGCTGTAGATGTCTTGAAAAACTGGGCATTCAGACGAATCAGTCATCAATAGGCACATAGAGATAAAACCACATTTACAAACCATTCAAAACAAGATAATGAAAGGGCCAAGAAGGAAACAAAAAAGGCCAGAACACGTCTTCTCCAGCAGCCTACACCCAGATAAGCAGGGATTAACACCAGCCAAACAATCAAGCAGAAAGCAATATTCTAATCAACCAAGGATAAACCCAGACCGCACTAACCACTGCAAGGGAAGGTAAACAGGGAGCTAGACCCACACTAATGATGTTACCTAGTCAGGTAATGAAATGTCGGCAAGCAAATAACGAAGCTCAGGAAGCACTAAGGACTCCACAATTAACATATTGTATGACTTGGATTATTGCAATTTGTTTGTTTGTTTGTTTGTTTTGTTCAATCACATCCAATTTTTGGAGACTGTCTGGAGTAGTCCCTGCAGTTTTCTTGGTCAGGTTTTTCAGAAGTGGTTTTTCAGAAGTAGTTTGCCATGGCCTCCTTCCTAGGGCTAAGAGAGAGTGACCGGCCCAAGGTCAGCCAGCTGGCTTTGTAACTAAAGTGGGAATAGAACTCACACTCTCCTAGTTTTTAGCTTAATGCCTTAGCTACTACACTAAGCTCTCTCTCTCTCTCTCTCTTTCAATATATGATAGATAGATAGATAGATAGATAGATAGATAGATAGATAGATAGATAGATAGATAGATAGATAGATAGATATAAGAAAAGATAGATTAAATAGATAGATTAGATAGGTAGGTAGGTAAGTAGATAGATAGATAGATAGATAGATAGATAGATAGATAGATAGATAG